CCCCTCAGCAGTGTACTTTGTCAATCTGCCTGTTCTGCTCCCCACTCTGTCTCTGGTGAATCCTCTCACTGCCCCTGCACCTCTGACCTATACCCCAGTACTCTATTCATAAATAAATAAATCTAAAAATAAAAAGAAACAAAGGAAATCCTGATTAAAGAACCAAAAAAGAAAAAAAAAAGGTAATATCTCATCAAAGAGCAAACAACAAAGACTAAAATCATAAAAATAATCAAATAGAAAATCTGGAGTTTAAAAAAATAAAAAGAAACAAAGGAAATCCTGATTAAAGAACCAAAAAAGAAAAAAAAAAGGTAATATCAAAGAGCAAACAACAAAGACTAAAATCATAAAAATAATCAAATAGAAAATCTGGAGTTTAAAACAATCAAAATGAAAAACTGACCTGTGGAATTCAACAGCTTTGATGTGGTAGAATAAAGAAGTGGTGAACGTGAAGATTCTAAAGTTTGTATGGTTCAAAGAGCACAAAGAAATAAAAAGAAAATTGAAGTATCTCAGTGAAACACCACTGTGAAAAGTAACAGACATGTAGAAAAGAGAGCAGCATAAAAAAAATGAGTAATGGCTGAAAATTTTCTAATTTGTTGGAGATCCATAACTAGTAAAATTGCAGAAATCTAAAGTTAAGAAAACCTGTGGGCAGAAAGAGAAAACCAAGCAAGACAGAAATACTTCATTACTAAGCAGGCACTCCCCCGCTCCCCATAAGGTTAGCAAAGCCTTACCAGGTCCAGAAGACCAGAAGACAATGGGATGACACATTCAAAGTGCTGGGAGGAAAAGCTGTACACAAAGAATTTTGTATCCACACAAAATTGCTTTCATAAATGGTGAAATACAGACATTTCTAGTTAAACAAAAGTGGAATTTGCAGCAAACAGACCCATTATATAAGATATACTAATGAAGTTCTTCAGCTTTCAGACTAGAAGTATGTGACCCTAGGTGGTAATTCAAACCCACAAGAGTACTAGAATAAAATTCATTATGTAATTACAAAAAACAATATATATATTTTATGTCAACTGATATGTATCTATGATCAATATTGTACATTCATATACATGTATTTATGCATATGTATGTATAGATTGACCTGGGAAAATGTCCCTTATTATTTATTAAGTGAAAAGATCAAACTGTCAAGAAATCCATCACACAGGGGTAAAACTTCTTCCACTCACATGATTAAACCCTTCATACATGTAGATATTTTTCCAGCATGAAAAAGGAGCAACACATACACACATTGTGTCTCAGGGATTTGTAAGAAGAAATTTTTCATTTTATTTCTGCCACACTTCACTGGTTTTGGTAAAAATATACACATTTTTAAAACATACTTTCAATCATGATTATTACAAAAACTCAAAAACAGCACTGAAACCAGAACTTTTTTTTACTTTTAATAACTTATGTTTTCTCACTGGAAAAAAAAATAATTCTAAAGAATTACTGAAATAAATCAGTACTACTAAAAAAAAAAATATGTACGCCTCCAGAAATAAATCAAGATACTAATCTAGGATGGGGAGGAGAGGAAACCTTACTGGCACCTCACCAGTATGGGATGTCTGACATAGATTAAATTGTAAGCTATGATTAAAGTTCTTCCCACATTCATAAGGTTTCTTTCCAGAATGAATTCTCTTATGGTGTGAGAAGCTTGAATGATAGCTAAAGGCCTTCCCACACTCCTTACATTCATAAGGTTTCTCACCAGTATGAATTCTCTGATGTTGAGTAAGGTGTGAATGAAGCCTAAAGGCTTTCCCACATATCATACATTCATGAGGTTTCTCACCAGTATGAATCCGTTGATGTCTTTTAAGGTGTGAGCACTGTCGAAAAGCCTTCCCACATTCCTTACACTTGTAGGGCTTCTCACCAGTATGAATCCTTTGATGGAGGGCAAGTTGTAAGCCATCACAAAAGGCCTTCCCACATTCACTGCATTCATAAGGTTTCTTGCCAGAATGAATTTTCTGGTGGTGAGAGAAGCTTGAGTGATAGCTAAAGGCTTTTCCACATTCCCTACATTCATAAGGCTTCTCCCCAGTGTGGATTCTCTGATGTATGGTAAGGTGTGAACGATGCCTGAAGGTCTTCCCACACTCTCTGCATTCATAGGGTTTCTCACCCGTGTGGAGTCGCACATGTTCAGTAAGCTGAAAGCTGCGAATAAAGGCCTTCCCGCACTGCTTACATTCATAAGGTTTTTCACCAGTGTGAAGTCTTTGATGTTGAGTAAGTTGTGATCGTTGTCGAAAGGCCTTTCCACACTTCTTACATTCATAGGGCTTCTCACCTGTATGAATTCTCTGATGTAGAATAAGTTCTGAGCCATAATTAAAAGTCTTTCCACATTCTTTACATTTATAGCGTTTTTCACCATTATTAATTTTCAGATGTTGTTTAAGTTGGGAGCAATGAATAAAGGCCTTCCAACATTCCTTACATTTGTCACTATTTTGAATTCTCTGTTGTTGAGTAAGGTATGATGTATTAAAAGTTTCTGTACATTTCTTACATTCAGAAAGTATTTCTTGAGAGTGAGTTCTTTTTTGATGACTAAAAAACAAGTGGTAATTGAAGTTCTTCCTATATTCTTTGCATTCAGGTTTTTTTTCTGAGTGACAGAATTCCTGAGTGAGTAATGTGTGTTGGAGAAAAATGGGTATGTGTTCATGGTTTATAATAAACTGGCTGAAATAGCCTTCCTGTTGGCCCTCAAATTGATTTTTGCATTCCCAAACATCATTGGAAATGGATTTCTCAGAATTACTTTTAAATGATTCCACAATAGCCCACCGGGGTGATTCTATCTCACAAATGTCTCCTTTTGGAAATAACTTCTTGGGCTTACACCTGGATGCCAAGTCTGAAATATAAGAAACACATTTTAATTGCTGGCTTCATGTGACAAGATAAATAAAATGTCCATGGTAGGAAAGTCAGATAACTGCAAGTAATACATGTATGAAATGAAAGGCCTGGAGAGCTCTTAAAACTGTCATGCAGTGGAATGAAAAACAGGTAAGAAGAACAGAGAGATGAGAATACATGAGACAAAGCGAGGGAGTTAATGAAAAATCAAGTTAATGGTTCTGAAATTTTGATCTACTAGAATCACCTGGGAGTTTGTTGCAATGATAGCTATTTAGGAAACGACATAATAACTTGAAAACTCCATAGAAAAAGCCCATCAGTCAAAGCAGAAAGTGGACAAGACAGGTGAATAGCCATTCCACTGTGGAAAGAGTATATGCAGATGTGCAAATGAACAAGTGTTCAACATAATTTTCCACTGAGAACAATTGAACTAAAACCACAATGAGCTATCACTATCCACCTAAAAGAATGGCCAAAACGAAAAGCAGATATATCACCAAATGCTGCAGAGGGATTTGGAGAGATAAGATCCTGTATACATGGCTGGAAGGAATGTAAAATGATTCTGCAACTGTGGAAAATAGAATGTTGGTTCCTTTCCAAACTGAAAGTGGCCTTCTCATACCACCGAGAAGTGGCATGTTTGAACCTGATTCCAAACTTATCTCCATGTGAACGTAAATACATATTCCTTACATTCCTGTCCTCTCCTCACCATATACCCATGCACTCGAGATAAAGATTAAAAAGTTATTAATCTCAAAGGACACAATTACAGAATTCCATTTGTGTAATATTTGTGAAGCAGAATATTTATATAGAACGTAGAACAAATTGGTGGTTGCCAAAGGTTAGAGAGAAGGGGGTTTGTGTAGCTATAAAGAGACAACATGATGGAGTTTGTCATGTCTGTACTGTACACTGGCTCCTGGAGTGGTGACACAAACCACAGTAACAAAATGGCAGTTACACACCTCCCTCATCCACACACACAAGTAAATGTGTATATGACCAGCAAAATCAACCAGTGTCCATTACTTTTTTTGCGAAAAACCAGGGTGTAGGCCAGAGGTGCAGAGGGTTAGAAGATTCACCAGAAACAGAGTGGGAGCAGAACACAGAGATCAATGAAGTCCACTGCTGAGGGGAGCAACAGGTGGGTCAGGAGAGGGCTGCTGCGCCATGTGGGTCAGCTCCTGGCCGGGGATTGAACTTGCACTGAAGTGGCTACGGTGAGCTTTACAATGCTGCACTTTAACCCATACTGCCACCAGGGAGGGCCATTATTCATGTTTTTGATCCATGATTATATTGAAAATATACTGCCATCAACTTGCAAAACAACCTGTTTCATTAAAAAAAAAAAATTAAACATTCACGTGTCCTTAGAGGAACAGACATGTTTAAGTCTGGTATACTCCTTTTGTTTGTATCTGCTTTGGTTTCCTGTGGCTTGGTCTCATATCCCAGAATCCACTGCCAAATCCATTATGAATAAGCATTTTTCTTGTTTCCTTTCAGGAGTTTTACAGTTTGGGACCTTACATTGACTTATAGGATCCACTTTCTTTAATTTTTCCATCTGGTGTGAAGTAGGATCAAATTTTATTCCTCTACATGTAAATATCAGGTTTTCCCAAAAGCACTTGCTAAGGATACCTCCTTTCCCCAAATGAATGGCCTTGGCACGATCATCCAAAACCATATGATCATGAAGCTGAGAGTACTCTGGAATCTCTCTTGGATTCCCTGCATCCATCTTTTTACACTGATTCTTATGGCTTCACAATGAGTTTTGAAATGAGGTTCTCTCTGGTAACTGTAGTAATAATCTTACTCAACTGAATATTTGAATAGCTGCCGCCTCCTCACAACAGTTTCCTCTTTTTCTGGTCACCGGCCACTCACCTGAGCACTGTCCTCCTGCCACCTCCCTCAGTACTATCCAGGGCTCCTTCCCTTGCTCCAGTGAGGAGATCACAGATGGCTTAGAAATAGAGAGCCCTGGTTAAGAGAAAAGAAATGGAAATGAGGTAGAAATCGAAGTACTCAAATACCGTGATTCAAAATTGATTGAAAAAAGAAACTACAAGTCAAAATGGTACTTGATAAGGGCCACAAAATAAAGGATGGAGGAAGGATGAAATGCTCAAATTCGGTGAACTGAGAATCATAAGAAACAAAGAGGTAATCACGTACTATTTAAATTTATGTAAACTTTCTCATTTTGCTATGAGGAAAAAACAAGCTTCCTACGTACTTATTTCCAGATATTTCTTTAATGTTAAAAGCCGTTTGTGGGCGACAGCTAGAGCTTCACCCCGGATGCACATGTTCAGCCTTAGTCTGTGGCAGTGAACCTGCGGGTTCAGTGCAGTGCAAAGAGAACAAAAGACAAAGTTGAGTTTGTTGGACCATGTTATGCTTCTGTGGTGCATTACTCTGACTCTGCTCCCTCATCATGGAAGTCAGTCACTTATAAGAAAGGCCCTCAGGTATGCAGATGAGGAAAATGAAGCTGTACCTCCATTCGGCTGTGCTCGTTTCTACACAGAGAGAAACTGCATATAGTTTTTTTAAAGCCAGCCCTAAAACCCATAGGAAAAGGCTTAAGCATATGAAAAATCAAAAATTCCAAGAAACAGTCTCAGTTATTGGAGGGAGATAGCATTACCCAGTGAGACCAGGTTGCTGTAGTTCTCCAACATCACGTCTCTGTACAAGTCCCTCTGCGCGGAGTCCAGGCATTCCCACTCTTCCCGGGAGACGTCCACTGACACATCTCTGAACACCACCAGCCCCTACGGTGACAAATCACAAGGCTGTTTCTGAAATTGCAAGATACATTTTTGAAAGGAAGAAGATGGCCCTCCCTGCCACATATTTTCATATGACCTTAGTAGTCATATGCTTCAATCAGGAATAAGAAAACACCAACTTACATGAGCCATTTTTTTTTTAATCCAACGTATTTATCAGTTCTCTTCTTGGTCCCACTTTAGAAGAAATTCAGAATCCAAAGAAGGTGTTTCTGGATGAGAGGGGTTTGAAAAACCACACATGTGATGATCTTGCCTCTGAGCTCTCAAAGTGCTTACTCAGAATGACATTTTTCTTTCCCTTTCTTCATTTTTTTACATTTGCTACTCCAAACCCCATACACACAAATGTAAAAGATTACTGGGAAATTGGACAATCCCAGCCAGACTAAAATGCACAGGGGAGCCCAATATTTTTAAAAGATTAACTTTAATTATTTATGCATACAAGAACTGGGGTGTAGGCCAAAGGCGTGGGGGGGCGGTGAGAGGATTCACCAAAAACAAGAGTGGGAAGCAGAACAGGCAGATCTACTGAAATCCACTGCTGAGGGGAGCAACAGGCAGGGCAGGAGAGGTCTGCTGCACCATGAGTCAGCTCCCGGGCCGGGGATCAAAACCATGCTGCAGCTGCTGGTGATAGCGTCACAGCATTGAGACTTTACCCTCTGCACCATCAGGGAGGCTCAGGGGATCCCAGTTATAGCAGGAAAGACTCAAGAAAGTCTGGGGCAAGCTCTTTAGCAGGAGGTATTTAGATAAGCACACCTTGTCCTGACACTGTGACAAAATAGACCCCACTAGCTGCTCAGACCTGCCCTGACAGATGCTTCCTGAACAAAGCAAGAAAAGGAAAGGAAATGGACATAATGAAAAGATTAAGGAAACAGGAAATGATCCAAAAGACCTCGTGTATGTATAACAGGTGTTTCAAAAATAAAACAACACAGATGGAAGAGAAGAAACAAACAGAACAAAAATTTCTACAGCAAAAGAAAGGCTTGAGTCTGTAGTTTGAAGTTCCTGATGAGAATTTCAACAAAATCAGACCTAGAAGCATCCAGGAAAATCTACTGAAATTTATCTCTGAATAAACAAAAAGACCTGTCTTTTTTTTTTTTTTTTTTAAAGATTTATTTATTTGTGCATACAGAACTGGGATACAGGCCAGAAACTCAGGGGCGGCGAAAGACTTCACCAGAGACAGAGTGGGGAGCAGAACAGGCAGATCGACGAAGCACACTGCTGAGGGGAGCAGTGGGAGAGTCAGGAGAGGTCTGCCACGCCATGTGGTCATCTCCGGGGCAGGCGGGAATCGAACTCATGAGGAAGTGGTTTCAGCTTCTCAGTGCAGTGCTTTAACCCGCTGCGCCACCAGGGAGGGCCAAGACCTCACTGTCTTTTAATGAAGAGTTACAAAACATTACATTGATAACATTGTGATGAGGTCTAGCTAGAAAGAAGTGCAACTACTTTAGACTTCCTGGGAAAACACTTGCGTGTCAGAGGGAGGGAAATCCACTAAAATCTCAGGGCCTGCTACCCCAGTGCAATGTCTCAGGATCCAGTCCTGTGGGCTACATTGAACGACCCCTTGTAAGTTTAAGGATAAGTTGAACAGTGCACTTGGTTATTTCTTTTACTTGGAAGGAGAAATGGCCAGATAGGCGTTAATATACCAATTCACGGGCTAAGGCTGATGACAGTCATGGATATGAACTTCTGCATGAGCGGAAGGGGAGATGCTTGTATCCCAGTGAATGCCACCAGAGGGTGCCCTCAGCAGAGTATTTTAGGAAAATGGGTAGGATGACCTGTGCAGTGGGCAGCTGCTTCCCTCAGTCACCTCTGTCATCGCTCATGTGGCCTGTGGACTGAGAGTCTGCGGTGGCAGGGGTGGTGGGCTCCACAACACGGGCTTCCACTCACCAACACTGACCTGCCTGTGGCCACTGCTGGCTTGCCACCAGCAGAAGTCAACACAGTCCCTGAAATGGCCGGGTTCCTGATGGCAGGGTAACACCTGGTGTTACTGAGGTAGGCACTCTGGATACAGATTTGCCTCCACTATACCTAGTGTGTCATCAAACCCATCACCTGTGGACTTACAGAGAGCTCACCTGCCCTCATGATGGTCCACAGAGCATCGCTTCCGAGCAAGGATCACATGTCTCAGCCAAGGAACCACAGCACGGACAGATCCCCAGGGGATTCACTGGCTTTGCCGTGTTCCCCACCAGCCTGAAGCAGCTGGCTTTGAAAAAACACAGGAAATGACCTCTTAAAGATTCAGTTACAATGCAGGCTTGGTGGCAGTAGCTTGCAAGGCAGCTACAGAAGGCTGTGTTGGCTAGGTCTGTGTTTGATTCCACAGCTGGAATTCATGAGGTCAGGAATCTATGAGGGAAATGGGAGTCACTTATTATTACCACTTAGTGACTTAGAAGCTTTTTTTTTTTTTGGCTTCCTGTCACCACAAGCTGTGGTCAGCTGCCCCAGAAGTCTTGGCTCCCAAGGGAAGAGAGCTTCCACCGAGAGACACATCATGATTCCACTGAGCTAGAAGTTAAGACTGTATCACTCACTCACTTTGGGTCCTTCCTCTCTCAAAACAGGAAATATGCTTGGGTTAAAATTTTTCTAAGTTTACGAAAGTATACTTAAAAACATCAGTATCACAGCCTAAAAATCACTTATGTTAACGTTTAGAAGTATATATCTAAATGGTTCTGTTAATGGTATTTGACATTCTATAATGACATGTAAATTTTGATAAATGGGAGAGCTGTACATATCACTGTCAGTATATTTTGATTTTTTGTACATATTTATTGTTATTCTAGAACTTAATTTTGACAATTTAATATCTCATTGGGAGGGAGTTCTAGAATCTAATAAACTAGACATTGCTAAACTCAGTAAACTGAACTATCACTGTGAACTTCCACACATTCCTATATCCAGCCTACTCCCTCTTCCCCCGGATCTTACAGGATTAAGCTTTGAAAGAATGTTTTATCATCTCTAAGACTACCACTGTAAGAATGTCTACCAGGTTCTCCCAGGTAGAAGGTGACTTCTTGAACTCTGCTTCAAAGGATGTAACTACATAAATGTGATGTTGGAACAGAGCCTCGTCTGCCAGTTAAAAATATTTTACCTTGGGCCCTCCATGGTGGCACAAGGGGTTAAGTCTCAGCACTGTGAAGATATTGCCAGTAGTTACCGCATGAGTTTCATCCCCAGCCAGGGAGCTGACCCACATATCTCAGCAGACTCCTCCTGTTTCTCTGCAGTGTATTTCAGTGGATCCACCTGTTCTACCTACTCTGTCTCAGGTAAATCCTCTCACCGCCCCCCCCCATATCTGGCCTACACCCCAGCTCTTGTATGCACAAATAAATGTTTATAAATAAATTAATTTTAAAAATACATACTCAGTGTCTGAAGAAGAGCAGATTCAGACATATGTTCAGTGATGTTTTCCTTTCCTCAGGGCTCCTCTCTAAGAGACTGCATTAAAAGTGCCGGAGATGGTAAAAGGCAGGTAGAGAATCTCGAAACACCAGACCTTGGAGCACTGACTGACTAAACTGGAGCAAAGAATTCAACACACAAGGTCCCATCATCGATACACACACTCAGGTGGAAGCAGGACAGATGGGAGTACTGCCTGTCCTTCTTAGTATCCAAGGGAAAGGTCACCTGTCTCCTTCCTTGGTTCACAGCGCGGTTCCTGCAGAGATGGCTTTGGGAACCAAGTGGCGCTGTGACATGGACCTTCCCCTCAGTTCCAAGGATGATCCCCTAGGGAAGGAGTCTTGCTCCTAGACTCTTCCCTTTGGGTCTCCCTAAACCTCTCCCTAAGGGACACTTCCAACCCTAAAATCTTTATTCCAAAAACCAGTTTGTGCATTTTTACTTGCACGCAAACTTTTCGACCACTCAGTATCTTGATTCCCACTTTGGTGATTGTTTCTCTGCCGCCAGGGTCCACCGCTATACAAAAGGAAAAAAGCCCTAGCAGCCCCAGGGGTACGGGTCCCAAGAAAGGGCAGAACCTAAAACTGGCCCCGAGGCGGGCGACACCCACAACTCTGACGCCTGCTCAGAGTTCAGCCGGAGGCTGAGACTGGACGTGGGGTGCCCTCCCGAGTCGCCGGGCAGGACAGCTCTGGTGAACATTGTGGTCGTCCAGGCACCACTGAACCCTCAGATCTTCCATGGCCCCTCAGTGCCAACGTGAGACCCAAAACTGCCAGAACGAGGCTGCGCGGGGACATACCGAACTCCGACACAGCCCGCAGACTCCAAAGCCGCTTTCCTGACACTAGGTAACCGCACACAGGATGGGGAGTCTCTCACCCCAAGTGTCACATACCCAGCACAGCAGAGGAGCTGGGGTGCTAAAGTACAGTCACGCACCTGTCGTGGCCTCAGGGCTCGCGCACACGGGCCTGCGTTCTGGGCTCCACACGCCCAGTCTGAGCCCAGGACCGGGGTACCACTCGAGAGCGACGACGGGGAGTGGAAAACCAAGCGAAGCGGACACCGGATTTCTCTTCAAAGGCCACGGGCTGATGGGAAATGTAGTTCAAGGCCGGAAAAGCCCGGATGTGAAGGCGGCGCGCGCGCGTCCACAGGAGCCACGGCCGCGAAGTCGCTTGGGAAGTACGACCCGCGCGGCAGTGCGCAGGCGCAGACGGCTGGCCACTGGCCGGAGGTGAGACTGGTGGGTCCTGAGGGCGCCGAGGAGGCGGGTGTCGGCGGGACCCGTGGGGGGAAAGCCGAAGAGGGAGGCGGGAACCTGAAGTGGGGAAAGCGAGGAAGGAAAGGGAACCTGGGCAGGGGAAGCCGGGGAAGAAAGTGAGAGCCGGGATCGCAGTGACGGCGAGCGGGGAAGCGGGAACCCAGGCAGAGGAGGGGACCTGGAGCCGGGGCCGCCGATGGAGGAACAGAGATCGGGACCCGGGAGCGCCAACGAGGGAATCGGGGGTCCAGCCGCTGGGCACCGAGGAGGGAGCTGGAAGCCCCTAGCTGGCATGAGCTTGGCCGAGGCAGGAATTTTGCACGCCTCCCCCACTAGAAAGCCCAGCTCTGGGGAGCGCGGCCTGGCACACGGCGTGTTTAGTTTGCGAGCTTTTGTACCTGTCCTTGGGTGTATTTGGGCGTGTTCCGCCAGGTGAACGTTTTGAAACTGTTTAAGAAAGTGATGTGGTCTCTGCGTGCGTCGGGGTGGTCGATTTGTGTTGGAGCTGTGCGACTTTAGTGAGTGGTCATTGCTTACTTTGTGTGAGAGTGTGTTTTGGGCTCAGAGGTCCTTCGTAACGCGTGCCTGTGTGAGGGACGGTGCTGTAGCTGCATTTGTCTGCCCTTTCAAGTAATGTGTGTGCATGATCCACTTACTCTCAGTGCTCTTCATTGTGTGACTGAGACTTGAGAGCCGGGGAAACTGACTAGCTAGTGTTGTCTAGATGATCAAATACTGACCATTGTGTGTCTGTACAACTTGGCAGTTGGACAAAATTAATAAGATATTTTTTAAATAGAGAGAAGAGGTGGACCAAATAATGTCCAGAAAATACGTGGGAACCCCATAATTACATGATGACCAATATATTGAAATGACTAGAACCCCCTTGAGAGCACACAAACTTTCTCCCGTAACTGCCACTCTCAAACTTTCTATTTGAATCTTTTTTTTTTCCTTCTACTGGATGAATTCCTGGACAGTCAATAATTTCTTCAGTCATTCTTAAGATGCTAGACTTGTTAAACACAAAATCAGTCTCCTAATAGTCATTTAGAGAAATGTTCACTGTAGAGAGCAATACAAACTTGTTTAAAAACCAAAAACTCTCCTTCCTCTGGAAGCCTGTACTGTAAAAGACAACATGATCAGTTTCTTCTCTATTCTTCAACTTGAGTTTCATCTTTTTGTTCCCTGTAGGTGAGTAGTGTCCAGACGGAATGGATTGGGAGTTGGAAAAGGGAAGCAGTTTGGTACTCTTATAATTCAGTGTCAGTCATCTCTTCTGAGAGAAGCCGCTCCTGGGAACTTGCATACACTTCCCTTCTCGTTGACATAGTCATATCTGCAGCTGCCTCCTCAAGGCTCCTGGGGACATGCAGAGACTTCCCTGCTCTTGGTGGGTCTTACTATCTCCCCAATCAGTCCTGGTGGACAGTATCCCTCCATGATGTCTCTCTCCAGAGGTCATATTAGAATTATCTCCCTTGGCCCTCACTGGTGGTGCAACAGTTTGAAGCACAGCACAGTGAAGCTGGACATAGCTGCTTCAGCACCAGTTCCATCCCCAGCCAGGGAGTGACCCACAGGGTGCAGAGACCTCTCCTGTCTCCCCACTGCTCTCCTCAGCAGTGCACTTTGTCACTTGGCCTGTTCTGCTCCCCACTCTGTCTCTGGTGAGTCCTCTCACCACCCCTGCACCTCTAGCACGTACCCCAGTTCTGTATGCATAAATAAATAAATCTTTTTAAAAAATTATCTGCTTGTGCACTTAGCTCTATCAAATCCTTACAACATGTACATTTCCCCCCCCTACACCCTCCCCCTGCCCCCAGATTTTCTCATCACATTGGTTCCTAGTGCACCAGGATGTGAGGGGCCCTTTGTTTAATACAAAGAAGTATTTTCCCTTTGGAAAACTATGTTCTGAAATCTGTTTACTCTCTTAAAGGGAACATTCTCTTCTCTCAGTCTCTTCAGTCTCTACAAGTATTTAATTTTAGCAAAACTTTACAGTTAGCTGCTTTAAGGTCCTTTTTATTTAGAATAAGCCACTTAGAAGCTTGTTTCACTCACCATTTTTGGTATCTCAGCTGAGACAGAGGCAGAACTCAAAATTACCATCTAGTTGAAAATAATGATACTTATAATTTTTAATGACATTTTAAAACTAAAGGTTGCTAGGGAAAAGATGACAAATAGGTTTGTGTGTGTATCAGAAAACTGAAAAGTAGCCATTAGCCATCATAACATGAGAAAGATCATTAAGTGATTTTATTAATTGCCTGATGTATAATTTAAAAAATCAGAATGTGGGCCTCCCTCATGGCTCAGAGGTTAAAGTCTTAGCACTCTGAAGCTTTCACCAGCCACTGCCACCTGAGTTCTATCCCCAGCCATGGAACTGACCACAGGGCGCAGCAGACCTCTCTCGTCTTGCCCGCTGCTCCCCTCAGCAGTGGATCTCCCTATTCTGCTCCCCAATCTGTCCCTGGTGAGTCCTCTCAACCCCCCACCCCCATCTCTGGCCTACACTCCAGTTCTTGTGTGCATAAATAAATAAAAATAAAAAATCAGAATGTTCCAAAGGGAATCAAAAATAAGATCAGTAAAAGGATCCAACATGATAAAAGGGTCATAACTTCTTAACACTTCATTTAGCTCATTAAGCTATCAATATTTTTAGACTTTGTAAAGTTCTTGGAAAATGAACCAGCTAGAATGTTGAAAGTAAAATAATTGGGGAGGTGAGTAGCCCTAGCTGATAATAAGATGCATTTTCAAGATTATAATAGCTATAGTGATCATGGCAATTAAACAGATCAATGGGACTAACAAAGTCAAAATCTACGTAAACATATAAAGGAAATAAAGTATATGATTAAAAATGGCAGTTTTGGTGAGTAGAGGAAATACAGATTAGTGAATACTTGAGGGTGAAAATCTGATGGCCTGGTAACTTTTTAAAAAAGCTTTATTTATGCACACAAGAACTGGGGTACAGGCCAGAGCTGCAGGGGGTGAGAGGACTCACCAGATAGTGGGGAGCAGAACAGGCCGACTGACTGAAACACTGCTGAGGGGAGCAGCGGGCGAGACTGTCACCTCCCTGGCCAGGGATCGAACTCCTGCTGCAATGTCCACAGATAGCTTCACAGTGCTGTACTTTAGCCCATGAGACACCAGGGAGGGTCGCACACACTTCTGATTTGTCGTAAGTCCCAAAAGACACAAGCAGGCACAGTCCCCCGACATCCTCTTGCTTTGCCTTTCCTAGGAGCTGCCCTTGTCTAAAGAGGGCCCAGGAGAAAGACTAGTCGCCTTTTGCGGATCTGAAAACCATGGCTCAGGTAAGGAAGTGGTTCCCTTGCCCTTTGCGGGGAATTTTTAATTTATTTTATTTTTGCTTAGAGGAGATTTAAGCATTTTCGCCTATTTTCCTCTTCAGGAATGCACTCCCCACTCTGTCTCTGGTGAATCCTCTCACCTCCACACCTCTGGCCTGTACCCCAGTTCTTGTATGCATAAATAAGTCTTTAAAAAATAATACTTACTCAGGGTAAAAGGTATCAGTCTTACTGTGTTTCCATTTATTGCCCTTCGCTGTTTGTGCCAGTGTTGCTCACATAATACCTATGATTGTGATACATGGTTTTAGAGTGTTTACTTTATACCAAGTGGCTGCCGCTCACAGCCACTTGGTATAAATTCAGCCTGGCCTATTACCTATTTTTGTACAGATTGTGAGTTATAAATGGGGTTTAGCATTCATTTGAAAAAAAGAAATTTCTATCCCACATTTTATGAAATTTAAGCTTTAGTATCCATAAATGACATTTTACTAAAACACAGTTTTGCTCATTTATTTACATTCTGTCTGTGGCATGCTTTTTGTGACAGCAACACAGAATGTCTGTTTCAGGGCTCTCTCTGGTAGCACAGCAGGTTAAAGTGCAGCACCTTGAAGCTGTCTGCAGCCGCTGCAGCACGAGCTAGATCCTGGGCCAGGAAGCTGACCCACATGGCGCAGCAGACCTCTCCTGTCTCACCTGCTGGCATCCCAATAAGCTAAAACAGTTTTAGGGTTCAAAGTGACTTCACAGAAAAGATTTTTAGGATTAGCTATTAAATAAATACACTGTCAAGTACATCTACCTTGATTTTTGCTTCCTTTATAAAAATGTCTGTCATAAAACAAGAATAATAGGCCTTTCTTAACAAGTTTTCATATGAATCTTACAAAAGAGCTGGATCAGAGCTCGGCATTATCTAGCTAACTTGTCCTGATAATACCCTGACCCACGGCAGGGATCCGTGTCCTTCAAGGATGTGACTGTGGATTTCACTCAGGAGGAGTGGCAGCATCTAGACCCCGCTCAGAAGACTCTCTACATGGATGTGATGTTGGAAAACTATTACCACCTCATTTCAGTGGGTAAGAAAAACACTCTTGGAAACTTCCAGTAGCATGCATTTCCTTTTAAAGTGTCTAAAGCTGTGTGATCTTTAATTTTAGGGATGAGGCAATAACTTCTTTTTGGGTACAGTCATGATCATTGTTATCTTCCACACTGTGTGGTATTAAGTTTACTAATATACCGAGGAATATCCTCATTTGCTGTGCTGAAAACGCACATTACTAATTTTTTGAAATGTGTTAGAGGGGCCTCCCTGGTGGCCCAGGGTTTAAGTCTCAGCGCTATCACCATGAGGCCCAAGTTCAATCCCCGGCCAGGGAGCTGCCCCACATGGCGCAGCAGACCTCTCCTGTTTCCCCACTGTTCCCCTCAGCAGTGTGTTTCAGTAAATCCATCTGTTCTGCCCCTCACTGTCTCTGGTGAATCCTCTCACTGTCCCCTCCCCCCCACACACACACACATCTCTGGCCTACACCCCAATTGTTCTATGCAAAATTAAATTTTTAAAAAAAGAAGAAAAAATGTGTTGAAGGGCAAGCATCTTAATCCAAATCTTGCTTATCAGGGTGTCACATGACTAAGCCTGATGTGATCCTCAAGCTGGAGCGAGGAGAAGAGCCATGGACGTCACTTACAAGTCATACCTGCTTAGGTGAGTCTCTGACTCTTACGAAGACGAAATCTAATGGAAAATGAATTGTAAAGTGAACCCATGGTGGGTGACACCTTTGAAAAATTTTCAGTGTGTCCTTTTAAAAAGTCTCCAAACCTTTGAAATGAGCCTCATGCCTATAAAACTTTCTAGTACTACTCAGTGATGTTCTTTCATAGTTTGCTTGATGTGACCAAGAGAGTGACCGCTCCTGTCAGTGACAGTGGACAGTGAGCCTTCTTTTAGGTCCTTTTCTTGATTCATGTCTTTTTCAGGCATTCTTGGTCCCTTAATTTCTTGTCATTGTGATAGATTTCTTGCAGGTATGCTTAATCTTAAAAGAAGAATTTATTGGCTAATGTTTGTCCTCTTAATGGCTTTCCACTGTCTTTCTCTTCTATAAATACCACTGATCTTCTGTGCTATTATCTTAAGTTCCCATGCTCACCACAATTCTAGTTCTTATTTTTCAAACTGAATCTCTTTGGACCAGATGATAATTTCACATTTACCTTTGTTCCATTAAACTTCCATGGTTCATTTTATCTGGCCAATCATTATTCCAGAAATCAGTCCTAATTTGAGTAAAACAGCACTGACTCAGTTTTATCCAGGTTACCTAAGTGATTGTTTCTAAGATTCGCTGTACATGATTTCCATCATATGAGTGAATGGAGTTAAGAAACATCACTATATTGAGCAAAAACTTTAACTGGTCTTTCTTGAAACATGAAAAAGAGGAATAGTTATGACTGATGGACATGAGAGGTTTGTTACTGAGTAATTCTGAAAGAATTCTTTGACAGTAACAGCAACCTGAAGGCAGCAATGAATATAACCCTAGTCTGTCTTAAAAGATCCTGTTGAAAGTTTGTTCCTAGCTCTCCTCTCACAAGAAAAAGTGATTCCCAGCTATGTTTGTTTAAACAGCAGAAAATTAACTAAAGCTTAGAAAGATTAATTAGCCACTGATGGCTGCATGAAGGGGGCAGTTGAGCAACTGGAAGTGTTTGACCTCACCACACCCAGGGATGTGCAGAGAAAAGTAGAGGCTCTGATTTGTGTCCTCCAGAAAGTGACCCTGCTGTCATATTATCCTGCACAGCTTTCCTACTCATTTTCTTCTCCATCCTACATAAAGCTTAACGCCATTGATAGGTTCATTTTGTTGCCCTGAATACACTTAGCCAAGCATGACTCCCTTTCTTACCATCATTCTTTGTCTTTTCATGGTTTCTCATGTCCATTTCACCCTTCATATTAAGTTCTGGTGTGAGGTGCAGTGGTATTAATGTTCATTGCTTCTCTTTTCATCCTGCCCTACATTGATTGGTGTTTTTCTTTAGGTTCTGTGCCTTTTTTCCAGGCAAGCAATTATTTTTCCAGAGTCGTCTTTTTTTTTTTTTTTTAAGATTATTTATGCATACAGAACTAGAACTAGGGTACAGGTGAGAGGTAGAGGGGATAAGAGGATTCACCAGAGACAGAGTGGGGAGCAGAACAGGCAGATCTATAAAGTACACTGCTGAGGGGAACAGCAGACGAGACAGGAGGGGTCTACCATGCCATGTGGGTTACTTCAGGTCGGGGGTAGAACTGAAGCAGCTGCAGCCAGCTTGTAGTGCAGTGCTTTAACCCACTGCACCACCAGGAAGGGCCGGGTCTTTTATTTTTCAAGAACTGGGGTGCAGGTCAAAGGTGCGGGGGTTAGGGGGTAGTGAGGGGACTCAGCAGAGACAGTGGGGAGCAGAACAGGCAAATGGACTGAAATACACTGCTGAGGGGAGCAGTGGGCGAGAGAAGAGAGGTCTGCTGCGCCATGTGGGTCAGCAAACTGGCAGGGTATCGAACTCATGCTGCAGTAGCTGAACTTCATGGTGCTGTGTTATTAACCCCTTTTGCCACCAGGGAGGCTGTCCAAGGGCTTCCTGACCTCATATGTTAGACCCTTTAGTATAATTCCTAAAGTGAACATGTGAATGTTTAAATTGCTGTTATTTTCTTTTCTAGAAGAAACTTGGAAAGCTGAAGACTTTCTAGTGAAATTCAAGGGACACCATGATAAGTATTCCAGACCAGTTGTATGCATCAACCACAAAAAAATGATTAAAGAGAATAGCAATGCATATGAAAAAGCATTTACTTTAGACAAAAATCCCACTAATTCAAAAAATCTCCCTCCTGAATATGACACTCACGGAAAGATTTTTAAAAATGTTTCAGAACTGATCATCAATAATCTAAGTCCTACAAGGAAGAGACTCAGTGAGTATAATGGATTCACTAAGCAAGAGGCAGCTCACTCAGGACTCAAATCCCACAGTCAACATGGCAGGACTTTCAGTCAGAATGAGCTGCTTATACAGTATCACAAGATGGAGACTACAGCACAGTCGTTTGGATATAACGACTGTGAGAAAGCCTTCCTGAAAAAAGGGGACTTAATTACACATGCAAGAACTTACAGAAGGGAAAACCCATCTGAATATAATAGAAGGAGAAGAGCAGCCAATGTTGAAAAAAAACATACATGCCCAGAATGTGGGAAATCCTTCTGCAGAAAGTCAGTGTTGATTCTTCATCAAGGAATTCATACTGAGGAAAAACCCTATCAGTGTCATCAGTGTGGAAATGCATTTCGAAGGAAGTCTTACCTCATCGACCATCAAAGAACGCATACAGGAGAGAAACCTTTTGTTTGTAGTGAGTGTGGGAAGTCCTTCCGCCTAAAGACTGCCCTCACTGATCACCAGAGAACACATACAGGGGAGAAATCCTATGAGTGTCCACAGTGTAGGAATGCCTTCAGGTTGAAGTCACACCTTATTCGTCATCAAAGAACACACACAGGAGAGAAACCATATGAGTGTAATGACTGTGGGAAGTCCTTCCGCCAAAAGACCACACTCTCTCTCCATCAGAGAATCCATACGGGAGAGAAACCCTATGTTTGTAAAGAATGTGGGAAGTCCTTTCACCAGAAGGCAAACCTTACTGTACATCAAAGAACTCATACGGGGGAAAAGCCCTATATTTGTAATGAATGTGGGAAGTCTTTCTCCCAGAAGACAACCCTGGCTCTCCATGAGAAAACTCATAATGAGGAGAAGCCCTATATTTGTAATGAATGTGGCAAGTCTTTCCGCCAGAAGACAACCCTTGTAGCACATCAAAGAACACATACTGGGGAAAAATCCTACGAATGTCCTCACTGTGGGAAGGCCTTTCGAATGAAGTCATACCTCATCGATCATCACAGAACTCATACAGGAGAGAAACCCTATGAATGTAATGAATGTGGCAAGTCCTTCAGTCAGAAGACAAACCTCAATTTGCATCAAAGAATTCACACAGGGGAGAAACCGTATATTTGTAATGAATGTGGGAAGTCCTTTCGCCAGAAGGCAACACTGACTGTCCATCAGAAAATACATACAGGGCAGAAATCCTATGAGTGCCCTCAGTGTGGCAAAGCCTTTAGCAGGAAGTCATACCTCATTCACCATCAAAGGACTCACACAGGGGAGAAACCATATAAATGCAATGAATGTGGGAAGTGCTTTCGCCAGAAGACGAATCTCATTGTACATCAGAGAACTCACACAGGGGAGAAGCCCTATATTTGTAATGAATGTGGCAAGTCGTTTAGTTACAAGAGAAATCTCATTGTTCATCAGAGGTCACACAAGGGAGAAAATATAGAAATGCATTAAAAGTAATTTCTTTGTGAAGAAACTTTCCAAGTTATTATAAACACGTCACTAAAAGAGAAAGCATGCTTTAACATGTTAATACAGTAACTTTAACCACAAATGTTAACAACTGTTAATTTAATGTACCCTACCACGTGACTGTCTACTTTTTACTAGCTTACAAAAATGGGTATGATCACTGATATTGAACAATTATCATCAGTTAAGCTAATTTATAAGTTTTCAAGTGCTTCTGCTGTTTTTAAAATTATATAATACAGGCATATTCAAGATATAAAATGGCTGTAATGACCAGCCTCCATCAGAGAAAGAAAACATGAACTATAATTCTTACCGCACTCTGTGAAATAAAAAGTAGTTAGTTGTTATTTCCCCCCAAAACTACCCCTTCACTGGCTTTTAACATCAAGAAGTAGGTTTTGCATGTTTCTAAACTTTATATTTTCTCATAATCATGAATCTTTTTGTCTTTCAGCATTTTAAGATTCATACATTATTGCATGTGGCAGTAGTGTATTCATTTTCTTTCTGTATACTATTCCATTTTAAGAATATACTGCTATTATCCTCTTGATGGATATTTGTATTTTTTATAGTTTTATGTTAAAATAAAAATACTGCTATAAATATTTTTGTATATGTCTGTGTATGTGTGTGTTTCTGTTGATTTTATACTAAGACAAACTCAGTCTAAGGGTATTTGTGGTTTTTCTTTTTTTCCAGCTGTTGCAAATACTGTACAATTTCTCCAACCCTTTCAACAAACTGGGATGATTCACTTTGGACATGACAGCTGTGTTTATAGTCAATGTTGAGAAAAAGTCTTCAGTGATGGTTGAACTGGACAGTTTATTCTACAGGAAACCTTATATTCTAATTGGGAGGAGGCTGTTAGTCATGGAAATATAAACATAACAGAGGTTGGGCTTTGGCTATAGCTTAAACCATCCACAAAACTGAAAAATTCATATTGGAAGGAATCCTGTATTTGTCAGGATTATAGGGGCACTTCTACTCAGAGCTTCCACCTTATTCATAAAAAAATTCTAGCAAACAGGAGGTTAAGAAGGAACAAAGAGGCCCTCCCTGGTGGTACAAGGGGTTAAAGCACAGCACTATGAAGCTATCACAGCCACTGCAGCATGAGTTCCATCCCAGCCAGGGCGCTGGCCCACATGGCGCAGCAGACATCTCCTGTCTCACCCACTGCTCCCCTCAGCAGTATATTTCAGTAATTCACCTATTCTCTGGTGAATTCTCTCAACTATCACACCTCTGGCCAACACCCAGTTCACCTAGGTAAAAGAAAAAAAAATCTCCAAATAAGCTCAGCAGCAATTTTGAAAAATGTTACTGAGGGTGCTTAAGTAGGATTATTCATAAACATCTTTTACCACATGTATGAAGTCATTGTATGCAACACAATTCATAAGAAACTTTAGTAAGCTGGGCTTATTTTCCCTAATTAAAGATGGCTGTAAACCACATGTAAGCAAGCAGGAAAATGACTGATAGTTTAAGTATCCAGCAACAGGCCCTCTGACCTGTGTCCGCTCTCCTGGGCAGCCATGGCTGTCATGAAAATAACTCGGCATGTGCTGTCCTGACTTAAGATCCTATCATGGAATAGCCCTGTTTTGTTTACAGTTGAATACTGTACACACACGATCATCTTGTTTTATAGCACATAGTCATGTTTTACAGGTTTTGTGTATAACATACTAGAAAGAATAGTGGACAGTTTTTTGTTTTAAAGATGTTTTAAATGTTTTATTTATGTATACAAGAACTAGGGTACAGGGGATGAGAGGATCCATCAGAGACAGGTGCAGAACAGGCAGATTGAAGGGACTGCTGAGCGGAGCAGCAGGGAGACAGACGAGATCTGTTGTGCCATGTGAGTAAGCTCTCTGGCCGGGATCAAACTCATGCCGCAGTGGCTGGTGATAGCTTCACAGTGCTGGGACTTAATCCCTGTGCTACCAGGGAGGCCCGAGTTAGTATTTTAAAGGGAAGACCAGGAAAGTTTTGGAGATTTAAGTCAAGGGAGACAATCAGCAATACAGCCTGGCAAAGGACAGGTTATGCCATTGTGAGGATTTCCTTAAGATCAGCTGGATGGGCTGAAATAGGGTTGGGTAATTCTGAGGATGCCTATGGCATAACTCAAAATTATAATGCTCAAAACATGGGCTATTTGTTCCGTGGGGTACACATAAAAATCATTTTGAATGTTTCTGGGAAGGGATGGTATATTGGGGAGTAGAAATAACAGACAAGTCTGAGTGGCTGAAAACAAAAGGGTCAGATGAAGAGGAGAAAACTTAAGGACTCGAGTCCCTTCAAGGAAGGGAGGGCAGGCAGCCTGTGTGCTGGGGGTCAGACTGGGAACAGGAGCAGAGAGTAGTTAGGGGCCTGGGGAGCAGGGGAGACATCTGACAGCCGGGTAAAATGAGGGATTGAAGAAGAGTAGGGGCTGGGGTTATATAGCTCCTGAGGCTATCAGAGACTTGGTTAAGGGTGACGTCATGGACTTGTTGGGGGAAGGATGTCCTGAAGGAACCCTACAAATAGGTTTTATGGACTCCCACCCCCATCCCAGACCAAAGAGATCCAAGACATCAAGGACTACAAATCCCATAATGTCATCACCACTTAAGGGAGCACTGCTGGGAAGAGAGGGCGGAGTTAAGCACCCAGGCTTGATAGGTCCTCCCTACTGGTGCAAGGGATTAAAGGGCAGCACTAGGAAGCCAGCTGCAACCACTTCAACATGCATTCAATCCTCAGGCAGGGAGGTGACCCACATGGCGCAGCAGACCTCTCCTGACCTGCCCACTGCTCTCCTCAGCAGTGTACTTCCTCCATCTGCCTCCCCACTCTGTCTCTGGTGAATGCTCTCACTGCCCCTGCACTTCTGGCCTGTACCCCAGCTCTGTATGCATAAATAAATCAAAAATTTTTAAAAAGCATCCAGGCTTGCTATATAACCAGACTTAGCATTATAGTGGGGGCCCTTTGCTTTTTGCTGGCTTTCGGAGTGCTATTAAGGTCCCAGCTCAGTGGAACTGGTAGGATGGCACTCACCAATTAGTCTCTCTGTCTTTTTCCCTGGATTAGTTCTTTCTTCATTTCCCCATTTGTAAAGAATCCCTTTATTAACCTGTTGTGTGTGCTGCAGTTGAGTCTCATTAGAAGTCTCTTCTAAGCATGGGGTTGAGGACCCACAATCAAGCCAACACATTTCACATCGGGGTTGGCCTGTAACAGAGTGATGTCACTGAGTGTGTCACAATCTTTAGCCAAATTTAGGACCTTGATATATAAAATGTTGTTGGTCAAGAGTCACAAAGATTTACATAGATGGATACTGAGGAAGAGACTACTATATCGGCATCAGACTGGGGATATACTAATCCCTAAGAGGTCTCACTGGCCAGCTGAAGTTTTCAACTTCTCTTTGCATCATGGTCTGACCTGTACGTAGTTATAGGGGCGTAACATTTAGAGGCTTAAAGGTGGGGCAAGCAGCAAATGTATGTAGTGTCGTTTTAAACATTTAGGTTGCCAACAAGATGGAAGTGGAACAATGGTGCCATCTAGTGGTTGGCTATCGCAGTAGCGCTGAATAGCTCCAATGTTTGGGAGACAATGAAGCCAAAATCAAGTTCACTGGCTGTCACCATGCCAGGTGGGGTCTGCAGTTCCTGGCCCACGTTAATACCCAAAGTAGGTATAGACAGATTATGAAGAATTAGAAGGTCAGGGAGTCTCCGGGATTAAAGATTCAGCGCTATCAAGCTATCACAAGCCACGGTGGGTTATCCCCGCCAGGGAGCTCACCTCTGCTGACCCGCCGCTGCGTATTTCAGTACAGCCGCCTGTTCTGCTCCCCACTGTCTCTGGTGAATCCTCTCACGGCCCCTCACCTCTAGCCTGTACCCCAGTTCTGTATGCATAAACAAACAGATCTTTAAAAAACAACAATCACACATCAGGAAGACACAATCTTCTACCAGGAAGACATAATCTACCAAACCCATCTCTACATCTGTCATACACATACGCACACCCTCTCTCTCTCACGATCTCTTTTCTGCTCCCTTCTACGAAAAGACGAGACCCGACTCCTCACCCCGGGCCTTCCATAGTTCCAGGCTGCTCCAAACTTGCCATCTTGCACCGGACCCCAAAGGTCCCTGAACAGGTGACTTGCTGAACCTGCAGTCCCACCACTGCGCGGATTCCTCTGGGAAATGTAGTCCGGACCGACAATGGGCGCTCGAGCCCTCTCTGCTGGGTTGGCGCTCACCCACCGCATCTTCTCACCCAAACCAGCCGAGAGGGCTCGCACTCAACGGCTCACAGAAGGAGCCGAACGACCAGCTAAAATTGAGGGGACTCCTCGACCCTGGCTGTACAAAGGGAACATCCGGTTTGCGGCGGAAGTAGCTGGGAGCACAGGCTTCTGGGAAACGTAGTCCAGGGAGGAAAGTGTCGGTTCCATACCGCTGCGACCAGCTGTTTCTGAGCGCTCAGCCTGGTCCCGGGTCACCCAGCCAGCCGCGCCGGGACGAAGAGGTGAAACCCTGACCTGAACTGACATTTTCATCTTTGTCCGTCAATGAGTCTAGGTCTCCGCCCTGCCAGTGCTGAGGGTGAGGCTGAGGTGGGGCCTGGACCTGACTGTCTCCCTAGCAGGGTCGAGAAGGCAGGACGCGATGTGGGATCGAGTGTGCGCATCACGATCCTGGGTGTGTGTGTATGTGTTCATCGTACATGTGCTCAGTGGACCTTATTTTTAAAGAATCATGAACTATATTTCTAGAAGTCGCCTTCACTTTGCTGAAATTTTCCTGCACAATTTCTTTTCCTGGAAGTTATTTTAGATGGAGTTTGAAGTCCCGATTTTATGTGCTTTTTCTTTTCCTGTTTCTCACCTGTAAATCAATTTATTTTTTTTTTAACTTGTCACAGTACAGCCTTTACATTTACACACTACTGGGTTTTTCCTACTCTGTTGATTAATGGCTGTTCATCTTTTATTATATCCCCAAATTCCTACACATTCAGTAACATAAATCGTGATACAGCCACTCAAACGGTGCTCAGTCATCCTCAAAGATCCGCAAAGGCACTACAGAACTGACACCAGACATCCCAGAGACACAAGAACGACGCTCACTTCCAGCATCTCCCCTCCCTTTGCCACCAAACTCTTAACCAGTCAGGAAGAGATGGGCACAGGCACCAACACCCCCTTTCATGCCGCATATCCCCACAGTCACCCAGGACAAGACAGGAATAAGGACACGTCTGCCACATACATAGTTGAGAGCGTGCACACAGCCACCTTCATGTTGTTACACTCGGCCACACCCCATCCTGGTGTCAACGGGCATCGGATGGTCCCACCACCGCACCCTGCCCACTCACCTGCACACACTCCCCCTTCAGCAGCTGCCCCCCTCACTGCAACCTGCGACCCTAGAGCTCCAGGGTGCCTCTCCCACCGCCTCCTGCGGACTCAGCCGGACACTCCAGACCAGAGTCAGAGTGTGAGAAGGCCGTTCTGCACCGAGCTCGCTTGTGGATTCCGGTCAGGCACTCGAGGCTCCAGAACCTTGGGCGTTGGGAAGCCCGAGTTCACTTACCTGGGGCTCGACACTTGGCCAAAGCTCCACTTGGCCAAAGCTCTAATTTGGGGAGGCGGGGAGGGTCTTGGAAAATGTAACCCTAGCGATGCCGGGGGAGCCCCATTAAGTGCACGTCTCGAAGGTCCTAGTCCCCACTCCTTCCCGTGCGGAGTTGCCTCGCAGCAGCCAGTGACTGACCCTCCGTGGCACCAGCCAGACCCGCCGCCAGTGAGGGTCCCCGGTGCAAACCCCTGACCTAAGAACACAGCCTGTCGCATGGGCTTGGACCCACCCACACCCTTGAGAAGCTATGGGATTCCCAGGGAAGAGGGGGCAGGGAACGCGCAACTGAGAGGTCAAGGGGCGTGGAGGGAGGCACAAGCCAAAGGCTGCCGGGAGTGTGTGGTAGCCTCTGATGCAGCCCTGTGTCTCTGTAAACACCCACATATTACTCCTGTAGGGGACAGTTGAGGGAGCCTCCGTATCTGACACTGGGGTCACAGAAAGTACAAAAAATCTCCCCAAACCCATAGACTACATTCACAATCACCCCAAAGTCCATGGAGTGCCTTTCTGAGGCAAACAAGCCACAACTAAGGGACCCAGGGAAGTTGATACGCTTTGGCTGATAATCACAGTACTTTGGCAATTTTATTGGGCATGAGATGAGAGACTAGAGGTTATCCTGTGGCCCCTCAATACATAGGCAGTGGAGGAGCTAGATGAGCAGCCCGCAAGGAACTCCAACCTACACCGCCAGGGTGGTAAGTAATAAAAGTTCGTCCCATCGTTATCAGTTGTCTGCTGACCTGAGTGGCCTCCTACTTCTCCTGGATCTAACCTTGCGGTCAAGGCCCAATTTTCTGTTGACTCCAAAGCTGCACCCAGGAGCAGTTACAGAGAATTAAGAATGGGAGTTCAAGGAGGAAAAGGTAGTTTAACAGTGTCATAACAAATATTTATATGGGATGTTTTTCCACTGTGGGTAGTAACTGAGGACAATTTACAAATGGTGTATAAACATGTTGCAATTCCCTGGAACTATTATATAATTTTACTTTTTAAAAGGGGTGGGGCATTCGTCTCAGCAAACACTAAGATTCATGTAGAACTGAAGCAAGTAGCTCTTCATTACGCATTCAGAAGACTTAAGATGCAAAGTAAAGCGGCACTTAACCAATGACTTGCTATTCACCATTATTCAAAAATAAAACTTTTACTTTTAATTCTGTCAAGTTGCATCGTCTTGATGGATGAGACCCCAGGTCCACATCATTAAGGGCTGGTTCACCTAACAGAATTCCTGAGCCACTTTTCTCACACCTCACCCATCCTTTCCACCTCTGTGAAAGAAACTACAACAAGAATTACTTCACAATATATGTTTATCAAACCATTACGGTATACACCCTAAATATTTTGTAATTTTATTATTCAATTACACCTCAATAAAAAGCTTAGGGGCAGAAAACAGAACAATGGCCTGTCTGAATGCCATGTGTGTGAATGAAACCGTTTGCAGGTTAAATTGAGAGCCTACCGCTAATTGTGAGTGTTCTAAAGGAACTTGAATGTTTCTTTTTAAATGGATCCCCAAAAACTTAATATGTTGTTTTCATGGAAACTATAGTACTGGAAAATTGGTTTCTCAAAATCAGTTTATCTGAAAAAGACACATTATATAAAAGCTGTAGAAGCACTCTTACTGAACTTGAAAGTTCCTAAAAATTTCTAAGTTCAAGTGATATGGTGCAATCTGACAACAGTGAGAAAACACAAACTATTGAACATACACTATAATGTAAAAAAAAATTACAACAGATTTGGGTTACGCTATTTTTAATTTTAATAAAATAGATAATTTCATATTACATAGAGAGCAAAGAGCAAGTCCACCCACTCATTACTGATAAAATTTTAGAAATATTTTCTATAAAAAGTTTAGTACTTTGATCGGGAATGAATCCATTAGAACACAATTTCTACAGGTAGTGTTCCCATCCTCACCCCCATCCTTAATAAGTTTGAGAAAATTTAAAAATACAGAAAAGTACAAAAAATAAGACAAGATATCCATATACCACAATCCAGAATTATCTAGTATTTTGATATATTTACTTGCAGTTTTTTTAAAAGAGAAATGGATGGTTATATATAAAACTCAAGTCCCCGTTGACCAGTCCCCATCCCTCCTCCCACACTCATTCCCTTCCCTCCGTCACTCTTCACAGGCAACCACTACCAAGAGTTTGGTCTGTATCCTTCCATTTCAAAAACAGTAAAAAAAAAAACAAAAACAAAAACCACATACATATATATCCATTATCAATATATAGTACTGAATCTTACGAGGGAAGTTTCAATTCAAATTTACAAAATTGTCAGCAACGTCATTCCACAACTTCCCCCTCTCCCTCTACGTGTCGAGATCTTTCTCTGCATTCCGCGAAACCTCCTGTGAAGCAGGTTAGATATACAGTATCATTAAGTATTTCCCATTTTTGACCCTGATGGGCATTTAAGTTGTTGCCAATACGGCTACTACATGTCATGCCGCAGCCACAGCCCGGCGCGTGTCTCCGGAGCACACACTCAGTGGAGCTGCCAGGCATCTTTGAATTTATCACAAGGAATGTTTTCCTCTTCCCGAAGTCACAGCTGTTATAGTATAGATAGTATTTTCATATGTTTTAATCATCTTAGATATAATCTTTGCTTGGAGATCATGGTCTACTGTTTTTCCTTGGAGAAAAAAGTACCTCCAAATCATTTTTTGAAAAGTTCCACAATCACCTTACTTCCTGATGCCATTTCTACATATTCTAAATTCTAATAAAAGCATGTTTCTAGAATCTCTTCTGTTCTGCTAAAATCATTATCATAGAAGTCTCTTCCTTTCTGGTACTTAGAACTTAATTTTCTTGTGATGCTGGTGGCCACCTCCGGGCCTCTGCAGATGGCAGTGGTGGCAAGCATGTTTCCTGTTGCCAGTTTTAGTGGAAACGTGCCTGAATTGTCAGCATTACCTTTACTAGGACTTTTGTAGGCACAGGCTTTAGTCATTACAATTGTCTCTCTTCAGTATGGATTTTCTGGTGTCCTTTAAGTTTTTAGCTTCTGTTCCCCTCATCTGTGCTGTTTCCCTTCACAACTGATCCTTTCTGCTGTATGATGAGGTGCACAATGATGAATGCTTTCTGATTTTCAAGATACTCACAGGGTTTTTAATGTGTATGGATTTTCTGGTGTCTAATGTGATGTGACTTCTGGCTAAAAGCTTTCCCACACTCACTACACTGATAAGGCTTCTTACCTGTGTGTATTCTCAAATGCAGAGCAAGGGTTGAGAACTGAGAGAAGGCTTTCCCACATTCGTTGCAACCATAGGGCTTCTCACCTGTATGGCTTCTCACGTGCACAGTCAGAGATGAACTCTGAGAGAAGGCTTTTCCACAAACATTGCATTCGTAAGGTTTATCACCTGAGTGAATCCTCACATGTACAATAAGTGATGTTCTTTGAGAGAAGGCTTTTCCACATTCATTACATTCATAGGGTTTCTCTCCAGTGTGAATGTTCTGATGCTTTATGAGGTACTTCTTCTGGCCAAAAGCTGTTCCACATTCACTGCATTTGAAGGGTTTCTCACCTATATGAATTTTCTCATGCTCAGTAAGATTTGATTTGCCACTGAAGGTTTTTCCACACTCCTTACACACAAAGGGCTTCTCTCCGGTGTGCGTTCTCTGGTGTCTGATGAGATTTGACTTCTGAATGAAAGCTTTCCCACAATCCTTACACTCAAAAGGTTTCTCTCCAGTGTGAATTTTCTGATGGGTAAGGAGATTTTCCTTCTGGCTGAAGGATTTTCCACACTCGTTACATTCAAAAAGCTTCTCTCCAGTATGGGTGTTCTGATGTTTAATGACATACTGCTTTTGGCTGAAGGCTTTGCCACATTCATTACATTCAAAAGGCTTCTCTCTATTATGAAAATGTTCATGTTCAGTGAGATTGGACTTGTGACTGAAAATTTTCCCACATACCTTACAGGCAAAGGGGATGTCCCCTCTACTATTTCGCTGCTGACTGAGGTGTGACATCTGAATGGAAGTTCTCCCACATTCACAAGATCTCTCTCCAGGATGAATTCTTTGATGAATGAAGATTTACTTTTGGCTGAAGGTATTTCCACATTTCTTACATTGGTTCGATGTCTCCGTGTATGACCTTTCAAATGCAGAATAAGGATAAGGTTCAAAAGAAAACTGTCATTCTGAATACATTCAAAGTTTCTCTCCAAGTATACTTTCTAATCCTCTAAGAAATTCTGTTATATTTACTAGATTCTCTCCTGTATCAATTTTACTCTACTTAATGAGATTTGTAAACTGATTAGCACAGGGTTTCCCTCCAATCTAACTTCTATGTTTAGTGAGCTGTATGAGCTCTATGGGTGAACATTTTCCCACATTCAGGGAATTATCATAGGATTTCTCTCCAGTACCATAAAGGTTGGATATGATCAGATGGGGCTCAAATGTTTCTGAGGGCATTTCCCACTGATTAATACCTAAGGGGTATAAAGAGTAAACTTGTGGCAAGGTTTCCTAAGTCGTTGATTCTTTCTTTACTACTTCCCTTACAATTAAGTCTCAATTGTGCTAGGTTAAGCTGAAAAAGGTGGTGCTTTGAAAGAATTAAGATCTGCAATCAGAGGAAGTATCTTTCCAGTGTTCTTATAGTTACCGCTCTCCCCGCAGGCTGTACTATACTGAAGAGGGATGCAGCTTGCCTCCCAAGTCTTGCCGCCTATCTGTTCATCTCAAGTTCCTAATGCGGGAGGCAAAGAAAACTGTTACTAGACCACGACTGGCACCTGAGCACTCAACAGATGTGAGCTTTGTTATCACCACTCACAAGTCTTCTCATTACTAGCAGTGACAGGTCAGACTGTGCCTTTAGGGGTTAACTCTGACAGTCCAAATGACAGCATGAAAGAATCATGAGCTACACCTCCAACTAAGTTTTGAAAGGAAACCTCTATGGGGGATATCTAGCAGAAGATTAACATTCTAAGGTACATAAAGCTTAGATTATTCTGAAAGTGTCTAACCTCAGCTGCAAATAAAAGGATAAGGAATAAAACTGCTTCCACCCAAACTTCCATTAATAAAAGAAACAGAAAGTGACACAAACCCAAGAAAAACAAATATGCTAGGAGACATTGGGGCACAGGCAATGGTATTTTTCAGTAATGTAAAGAATAGGAAGATTTTCAACAGACAACTGAGCCTCAAACAACAAAGGTCATTTCATTAAAGGATACCAATGAAAAAGGAAAACCAATCTGGCCCACAAAATACCAGAAAGACTAGGGAAATGGGAGGAAATTAAGCACTTAGAGACAATGTAAAGATGGGTGGGTGGGTAGTAACCCTGTCACTTGTACTCATTTTCCAGGTCACCACAAAGGACCCAGCCACAGCTGCAGTGAGGGAGAGTAAGGAGGAACAGTCGCTCGCAGCGGGAAGCCCGTGTGCCTGAGTCATACATGCTGGTCCCTGGAGCCTCGGAAACAACCAAAATTGCCCAGGTATGCACATGCCTCCAATTACCTTCTCACATAACAACTCTTAGGTGACTGTGTATTCCACTCACGTGAGAAACCCCACTAACTTCAAAGACAGGTGAACACAAAACTAATTTAAAAATGAAGAAATAAAAGCACAATAACAAAACCCTAAAACCAATCATGATCAGTTATTATTAGTGAAATAACACAATTTTCAAGCAAGAAACACACAAAACAGGCTCCCTTAGAATTAAAGAGGGGAATGGTGAGGTAGACTGGATCTGCTTTACTGCAGTTGTATTTCTTCACCCTAACAAACTCAGGCTCCGCCAGGTGCCTTGGCTGGCAAATGAAATATGAGCCCAAGTGCCAAGTATCATTTCCTGGTAGAAGCTTTAAAAACACAAACTCAGGATTAAACAAGATAATATAAAAAAACTAAATGAAGTTCTGGAAAACTATCAAAGGAAAAATTAAAACAAACAAACAAACAAACAAACAAAAAACAAACACCTTATCCTCTAATACATCTCTTGATGTAAAGGACCCACTTGGCACTCTGCATAATGAATAATAAAAAAACCTAAGTGGGCACATCACTGTGCTATTTCAAGAGAGGAAATAAGCCATTACTGCTTTCAGAAAAAAAGAACATCATTCAAAAGAACAGGAATCAAAATGGCATCAAATTTCCCAACTGAAAGACGCAAAGTCAGAGACAAAATTCCAGTCCAAGCCTATCTGCTGGCTGGCCGGAGGCACCTTTCAGACCTATAGATGCTCTTTTATTTCCAGGATGCTACTAAACGTAGCACCAAAATTAGTAGATACGGGACCCCCACAAAGGGGATGAAAAGGGAGGGGGAAGGGGAATGAAGAAAGCCACAAGGTAAGTAAGGGCTGACCACCAAACCACAGCTCAGAGCACAACCAGTCAGACTAGCAGTAACAGCCACAAGGGGGGTGGGAGTGGGGATTTTCCAGTGCATTTGACTACATGGAAAATAGTACTGAGAGGACTTTTGACTATTCTGAAGGAAGTCCAAGGGAGTCTGAGCTACACACAGAAAACCACAAACAAAAGCAAAAAAGGCATTCAGGTATGTGTATTATTTGACAGTACTTTCTGAAAAAGAGAACAAAGGTAATTAAGTCACTCATGGCTATAAGACAGTCAAACATTTAAGACAGACCAATGGCTATTAGATATGAAAACAAAAAAATGTGAATGTTTCAAATTCCATATTACATCTAATACCGAACATAATACTACTTGTCACGGTGCTGGGTATAACAAATATCTCCACATTTAACTGAAAAGGATATTAAAGTACCTCTTCCTTACCTAAATACATGTGTGTGAAGCCACAGTTTTTTTCATATACGCTAATCAAAACAACTTGCTACAATAGAAGAGAATCCAGCTGTCTCCTATTAAGCCAGACAATAAAGTATTTTCTCACTAAACCTCTCATTTTGAAAAATTCTTTATATGAAATCCAATTTTAAGAAATGCAATTAAGTTTACACATAGCAGGATTTTGTATTATTTTTAAAAGAATGTTTTATAAAAAGCTTTCACTATTATTTTTTGAATAAGGAAATGATGACCAAACTCCACTTAAACCAAAGTTCTTCAGAGGTCCTCAAGTTCTATGGCTGTACATGACTTTTACCTCAATAAAGCTTTTATTTGGGGGGAGAGAGAAGTTTCTGCGTCCTTTGGCTTAGCCTGAGCTTCCCCAGTCTTGTCTCCTACACATCTCCTCTCCTGCTCCTCGCTGTGAGCCGCTGCCAGCAGGTGTCTAGCACACCAGGGCAGTCATTGGCACGGCCCTGACAAGGCAACACACAACACAGTTCAAATTTTGACAGGATCCCCAGCATTTTTAAAAAAGAATGAAAGGGTATTTTTGAGGTAACTGAAGAACGTATTGCTGCCAACTGGCTGGGGGGTGTGATAATGGCCTTTCTGGTTATGGTGCAGGACACCAGTATTTTTAGAAGACACATCATTTTAAAGAATGAAGTGTCACGGTGTTACAGTGTGCACAGGATATGGGACACAGAATGAAATACTCATTACAGAATCTATGGTGGGTCTATGAGACCTTTCCTGTTTTTAATGTTTGAAAATGTTCAAAAAGATAAAAATTTTAGAAAGCAGAACAATCTCTACAACAATTATTTAACAGTGAGTACCTCCTCTGTTGTCAAAACTACAGACAGAAAAAAAAAAATGGCTTTCTTTTCAACAGGTTTATAATAGAAGCCAGATATCAAAATTTAAGAAATAATGTAGTACTGACTGAGGAATGTACTATTTGCCGAGTTTGTACTGAGTAGAATTACTCAGTAGTACCTACTGGAAATGAAGATGAACAATCTGCAATCAATAAAGGAGGAATTAATAGGCTTAAATGACACTTAGGACCAGAGAGGTAGAGCATTTCAGTTCAAGATCAAGACTGAGACATTGTTTGAGAAGGAAATGCAATGAAAATGAAATCAGACAACTCTGATTTGCCCAGGCAAATTTTGCACAAGAAAGAAAAACAGAGGAACTAAAGCAGGAATTGAGTCAGTTACTTCTAACTTCAGAATGGCTGTGTTCTGGGAACTGATCTAGAAAGGTAAAGGGAAAATGCAGTGTTCTCTAGGAGTCACTTCCAGTTAATAGCAGACAGTAAAAATACGAATAAATAGAAAAGCAAATAAGATACAGGAAAGGTTTTGTCATCAAAGCACCAATCAAGCAGAAGAGGGAGAGAATTCCCAGAGCGATGGCTTAAACAGATCCTTTCTTCTAAACTGGTACAATAACACATCGCTTGTCCATTTCTCATGTCTGTGAAGAGAAACCAAAAAATAAACACCCTGCTTTGTTAGTAAGAATTGAAAGTGGCAGTAAAGCTAATGAATATTTTTTTATAAGGAAAGGAAGGGGCAGAGCAGTGGCCACCGCTGTTTTAGGGGGTGCTTTCATGGGCAATGCTCTCTAAAAAAAAAAAAAGAAAGACAGAGCAAAGGACAAGTCACCAGGTCCTTTGCAACAAAAAGCAATCAGAAATACAGGCTAGAGTTGGTGGACCCAAGGGCAGTCCTGAAAGGCCAGGAGGAGGAAAGAGCAGGACATGACAAGGCACCAGGACGGAATAAAACACTAGTAGCAAAAAGAGCACCTCTTTATGTCCCTAAATTCTGATGTGTATATTCAAGTGCTTGCCTCCTACCTGAAAATGCACGGAGGTGACCTGGAGGGGTGGCCATGCAACTCACAGACGTTAACTCAATCTGACCCCGCAAATTCCTGAAGACTCCTCTCAGTAACCCCAACTCATATTCATGGTCTTACAGTAATGCAAACCAAAACCTTGGGGTTGCACAAATGCTCCTTTTCCTCTTAACTGACACAGAACTTACCAGCCAGTCCTGCCAGCTATTCTCTTAACATAGCTGAGGAATCTGATTACATGTCACCAGCTCACCTACTACCACTTTCTTAACCTGGATTACTACTACAGCGTCAGATTAATCTAGCCTTGATGCCTTGGTATTTTTATTTTCTTTACAGAGGCCACCCATTCCTCAAAATGCAACTCTTTTTGCAACACTCCTCTACTCAAAACTCTCTGTGGCATCTGAGATGAGAACATATTCCCCCTAAATCAAATAGTGTTATATGCTCATGTTACCACAATTAAAAAAAATCAATGTCACTATCTATAAGCAGTTAGTTAGGATGGATCCTTAATCCTTTTGAAAAACACATGCTATTTTATCGCTCAAAATAAACATCCTTTAAAATCAGCTTACTTCTTTTGAGGGCAATGAGCCTATTTCCCTCCAATGTACCAATGAACCTAACTTTGACCTACCATTTCCACTAATAGTACTTTATTATAGAAATACTGTGTATCTCTACAGAACAATGTGAACAAGCCAAGCTTATGCATTTAAATCTTCCAACAGCAGAAGGCTGGGAATAACCTAATCCATAAAGAGGAAACTGGTAAATATATGTGTTGATGAAGACTCCAGTTGGCGGGGCGAACAGAGTAAATACACTACTGATATGAAACTGAAGGCTTAAATGTATTTATATTTCATATTCTGACCGAGAATCAGGAGGTAGAAGAGACTTCACTGTATGTAACTTTATGCTCCAATTCTGCACATTCATTTTTATATTAAATACAGGGGCTTCCCTGGTGGCCCAAGGGGTTAAGTTTCAACACTGTTAAGCTACTGCAGCTACTACAGCGCACATTAGCCCCCAGCCAGGGAGCTGACCCACAAGGCGCAGCAGACCTGTCTCCCCACTGCTCCCCTCAGCAGTGTTTCAGTCAATGCACTGTTCTGCTCCCCGCTCTGTCTCTGGTGAATCCTCTCATTCCTCACATCTCTGGCCTACACCCCAGCTCTTGTATGCATAAATAAATCTTTAAAAACAAATACAGCCCATAGGTTCATGCACACAGGTACCTGAAGCAGAAAGGCAGCACTGACTTCTAAGGTAACAACTTCTGAAAGAGATCTGTGAGGGCAACAGGAAGGCGTCTGCCAATGCGTAAGAGGCAAAGTGGGTAAGGAAACAGGAAGCATGCTTACAGACATAAAATGTAACTCTGCCACAGGTAAGCACTGGGAAAAATCGGAAAAAGTGGCAAATAATAAAAAGGACCCAAAATGTCAGGTGAAATGTAAAGACAATGCCTATGTAAGACAATGCCCAAGGCAAGGATTCTGTCTACAATGAGGGTCTGAAACTGATGGAATCAATCAAAAAGACAACAGTTACAAATGAAGACAAATTAGGAGACAAAACAAAGTGTGAAGTATTGACACCTAGAATAGGTCAGGTGGAACCTCCTTCTCTAGGATCTGGTGAAAAGGCAGAATACTGACAAAGAAAAAATGAAGAAAGGAATGCTATTCAGAAGCCTACCAAACTCATACCAGGTGGGTCATGAAAGAAAGTCTAAGCATTCCAGAAGCCCCAAGTATGTGCCCGGCTGGGCCTGGCTGGTACTCACTCACGCACCTGGAGAGGCTGCCTTTCCACTTCCCTCTCCACCACCCGGCGCTGTCTTCTCACTTCAAGAGGATCACACCAGGCTTCGTCGGTCATAACCTGAAATCGGGAGATGACAGCACTAGAAGGTTACTGCTAGGGTGAAAGTTGCTTCTCCTAGACGAAGACAGGCAGTTCCCAGGGGGCAGGGAAGTGGCCCTGTGAAGAGCAAAGGAAGGACCTCCTGCCCCTCACATCAGAGCGCAGGCAGCCATGGGGCAGTCCTCACACAGCCAGAAATGTGGGTGAAAGGACAATGCACTTTCAGGTTTTTAATCGTACACAGGAAGGCTGCTCATAACTTAACCAGACCGACTGCAACTGCTCCCCAGCACCACAGCCCTGCATAGACAGGGTCCCCAGGGATTTTAACTGTCGTGCTCACTTCCAGCTTAATTCAAAACTCATCTGTGATGACAGCAACATATGCTTACTGAAACTAAGTGAGTCTAATGTACAAACATCGTTCTCAGATTTTAAAAGTCAAAGTTACCCAGGAATCTAATACTTTATTTGGATTAGGCTTTGAGTAATTTCATATTAGGTATGTTCTGTAGATATGTCAGCAACTGTATCTCAAATGTTTCAGATAAAAAATAATACATTTAGAGAAGAGAGAAGGAAAAAGAAAGCAAAAACCAAATTAAAATGATAGATGAATTTGGGGAAAGGGCATAGGAGACCTCTCACTATTTTCAACATGTTGAATTGTTGAAGAAAAAGTAAAATCCTAAAACACTTTAGTTAGTACTTACATACAGACTAGCTACTTTGGTTAGAAAAAGCTGAATTACCACTTAGTTTTTTAAAAAATATTTATGCATGAAGAATTGGGGTACAGCTGAGAGGTACAGAGATTAAGAGGATACACCCGAGACAGAGTGGGAAGCAGAATAGGCAGATGTACTGAGATACACTGCTGAGGGGAGCAGAGGCGAAGCAGAGATGTCTGCTGCACTGTGGATCAGCTCCCTGGCCGGGGGGTTGAACTCACTGCTGCGCTTTAATCCGTTGGGCCACCTGGAAGGGCCCTGTGCTGAGATTAAAACTCTAGGCCACTAAGGACCCCCCGCGGCCACCAAAAAAGTTTAGTCATCACTTTGTACAGAAACATGGCAGAGGCAGAGATAGAAAGCTCATGGTCGTCTGATTTTCATTTTGTACAGAGCCAGGCAAGGATGAGGTGGCCATCCACAACCTGCAGGGGGCGACCACGTTTAATGTGTGAGACACTGAGTGCCGCTTCTGAGGAACACACAGGCAGATCTATCCAGGAGGCAAATGGATAAAAAAAATAAGGATCTTATTTATCACAAAGATATATGGAGAACTGATGAAACTCAACAAAAATAAACAACCCCATCAGAAAATGGGCAGAAAAGCTTTTTAGAAATGTCTTTTTAGACACTTCTCCAAAGAGGAAATGCAGACGGCCAACAAGCATATGAAAACATGTTCAATATCACTTGTAAGAAGGGAGATGCATATTAAAACCACAATGAGATACCACCTCACCCCAGGAGAATGGCACACCTTAAAACAACTAGCAACAACAAATATTGGTGAGGATGTGGAGAAAAAGGAACTCCCCTGCACTGCTGGTGGGAATGCAAACTAGTACAAACACTATGGAAAACTGTTTGGGGGTTCCTCAAGCTGCTAAACATGGAGCTTCCCTATGACCCAGCAATCCCACTCCTAGGTATCTACCCAAAAGACACAAAAACACTGATTCAAAAAGATACCTGCACCCCCATGTTTATTGCTGCTTTATTTACAATTGGAAAGACATGGAAGCAGTCCAAATCCCCAAAAGTAGATGACTGGATTAAAAAAAGTAAACACATGTCTTTCACAGCAACATGGATGGAGCTGGAAAAGATCATGCTTAGTGAAATAAGCCAGAAAGAAAAAGAAAAATACCAGATGGTTTCGCTCATAGCAGGAGTATAATAGATGAGGCAAGAAAATAATAATGAACAGCTACACACCAGAGACATTTTATGGGGGTGGAGTGGGGAATGGGATCAAAAACAGTGGGGGAAGGGAAGTGCACAGGACTATGGTGATGGCACATGGGTGACTGACTTGGTGATGGGAAACCTACGGGGATTACAAATGAAATGGAAAAAAATGCACAAAATGATGTAAAAATAAACTATCATATCATTAAAAAAAAAAAGATCCTAGAATAAGCCTAGAATGGAAATGAGGATGTCAGATGTTAATATATCACTGCTACTAAAAACATGCTGAATGTCACTGACTGTTTATAGAGAATCTAAGCAGCCAGAAGATGGTCAAGGGTGGAATGTTAGGAATCCCAAGAGTAAAAAACACAAGGAGCTTCACAAAATGGGCTGTTTAGCTTTGAATCTTTCAATTGCTTCAGAAAATCAGACAAAAACATCAAGAATAAGGACGCTTGTGCCTCCATGGTGGTGCAGGGGTTAAAGACACAACACTACCATGCTAGTGGCAGTCACAGTGCCAGCAAACTAGCTGACCCACTGGGGCAGCAGACCTCTCCTCCCTGGCCTGCCCAGCCCGCTGCTCCCCCCAGCACTTTACTTCAGTCAAACTGTCTGTTCTGCTCCCCACTCTGACTCTGGTGAATCCTCTCATCCCCAACCCACACCTCTGGCCTAGAGTCCAGTTTTTGTAAGCATAAATAAATACGAAAAAAGCGTGGGACATGAGTGCCCGAAAACTCATCATGCAACTAGCCAATGTTGCACACTACACCGCACTAGTGCAGAGAATATATGCTGACTCTGAATGTACGTGTGGCTCACACCTGAAATAGTGGGCAGGTGCAGTGCAAAGCCCAGGTAACAATGAGAAACCCAGTAACAGATCTCAGAAAAAAACAAATATTCATTCTTAGGCTGATAGACTTTCCCTGAATGAGAACTGGTGCAACTGATTCTTACTACTGAACAATAAAATTAAGGACCCCAAACCCCCCTCCCCAATGTCCAGCTAACTCCACTTAAGCTGACTCTAATACAAGACCTAACAACGAAGTCACACAGAAGCCTCCGAGAGAACTAGGCATACTAAGGGGTTCCTAAGGAAATCTACAGCTACTTCCTCCAGAATGGAAGGCCTCACTCCAAGAGGGAAATGATGAAAGCAAAACCCAGATTAAGCAGAAAAGAACAGCAAGGGAAGCAGAAATAAAAGGCTTTTAATAAGTACTTAGGAGTGGAGCATTACAAGATTTCTAAAAGTGACAGCATGATCCTGAAAGCCACGAGCTACGGGAGATAGAAAGGGAGACAGAAATAGGCCTCAACTAGGTTAGTAAGGTCATCAAACAGGAGTGGAAATCCTTTGCTTTCACAGGCACGTGAGCTTTGAAGCATAAAACAACACTGTGCTTCCTCTTCCCTGGTATCTTTAGCCAGGAAAATCTATCTCATTCAAACAACAGTGAAATTAAACGTATTTTTCCTTATTTTTAAAGATTAAAAAAAATCATGTACGCAGAACTGGATACAGGCCAGAGGTGCAGGGGCGGTGAGAAGTTTCACCAGAGTCAGGGTGGGGAGCAGAACAGGCTGATCACCAAGGACACTGCTGAGGGAGCAGCAGGGAGACGGGAGAGGTCTGCTGCGCCACGTGGGCCAACCAGCTTTGCAGCGCTGAGCTTTAACCCACTGTGCCACCAGGGGGAGCCTAAACATTTTTTTTCTAGCAAATAAACTCATTTGAAAGAAAACAAGGCAGGCCAGGGGTTAATATGCAGCACTATGAAGCTGGCCACAGCCACTGCAGCAGGAGTTCACTGTTCAATCCCCAGCAGGGAGCTGACCCATGGCGCAGCAGACCTCTCCTGTCTTGCCCGCTGCTCCCCTCAGCAGTGGATTTCGGTAGATCTGCCTGTTGTGCTCCCCACTCTGTCTCTAGCAAATTCTCTCTTGCCCCTGCATTTCTGGCCCACACCTCCATACTTGTATGCATAAATACATCTTTTTTTTTTTTAAATTACAACTCATTTCACAGAGGGCTGATTTTTTTTCAATGCAACGGCTCCTAGAAAAGGCACCCCACACAAAAATAAGGAAAAGGTTATCAGTAATAAGAGGATGTTAATTAAACTTAATGGCTTTTGGCAAAAAACAAAATATTCAGCCACCACACTCCGGGAGCAGGAGTGGGAGTGCTAGCTGGGTGGGCGATCTCCTGCTTACATATGCGGTGACAGATAAAGATTACTCACTGAACTAGAGAGCAAAACCACCCAAACGTCGTCCAAAACAGCCGAACCAACCAAGGTACATGCAAATGGGGCGTCTCAAGTTATAAAGCTGCTAAAAAGCAAAAGGAAAAAAGAAATCTCCAGGACATATTAAGAAAACGAATACTAGATATGCTACCCTTTATGCAAGGAGGGGACAGGAGTGAATCATGAATACACACCAGAGGCCCAATGAACAAAAAAACAATTACAAAAGCCCAAGGACTATACTTAATCAGGACAAAGAATGCGATGGGGGAGGGGAACGAACAGGGCAACCCCGACAAGAAACGGGCTGCCTGGCTGCGGGCCTACAAGGGGCTTTCAGTAAAACAGCTGCAGGCACACACACAAAAGCTAATAAAGTGCTTGTTTACAAAAATAAAAGGGGAATGTAGAACATGAATAATCAGGGAGAAACAGAGGGAGGGAAGTTGGAGAACGTGTCCTACCAGTTCCCCTGACCTGGAGTCCGGCGGCGGGGATCCGGCGAGCCAGCGAAAAGCCCAGAGGCCGAGAGACCCCTTCGGCCCACACGTCTGGTTTTATAGCAAACCTGGCTGCCTAGCTCCACCCTCAGGTCTCAGCAACTTCCCTTCGGAGATAACAGGATTTGTGTTTTAATCTGTTCGGTCTGGAGTGGGGGTGGGGTCAGGACATCCTTTCCCTTAACAAGATTAATGTGTTAAAAGCAGTCCCTGCACTGAAAAACAAACTGAAACCAATGAGCTGTACATTACCTTGGTAACATAATTCCTTGAAGAAAGAATTTCAAATGACTGCAGAACAGAGAACTTCCACTACGAAATTTAGTAGGTTGCGTTCTAAGGATAAAAATAGCTAAAAGAAAATTTCCACACTATACAGTATATTTATAGTTACTCCTAACTTGAATACAGTTATAAAATAGATCTTTTCTTTATACTGCAGGACAAACCAAAGAAAATAAGTGCACCATGTTAACCTGCTTCTATTTTTTTTTTTACTATAAAATACACTTAGGAGTAAACTACTAGGTAAAAATGCTACACCATCAAAACCGAATTAGAAATACTAATGAAGTCATAATTTTTAAAAATGGATTTTCTGTCACTGACATGGCCTTGAATCAATGTTATCCATGAGTGGCGAGAACACTCAGTACCCAGACCTTGTAAACCGTTCTCCAGTAAAAGAAACCAAAGCTCCTGAGAGAGCTGGCCTGCCCAAGTCTGGGAGGAGAGGATTACTTACCCGTAGAGAACCCTGGAGGACCAGGCAGCCTTCAGAGACAATGGTGCTCAGGTGTGATGCCGGCCCCCCAAAACATCTACAAATGCTACCAGTCAAGCCTGTCTCAATCAACGAAATTTTTTACAAAAGGTTAAAGGATGTCAAATCAAAATGGGACAGGTCAGCTTGAGGGAGTGACCACTGGCTAAACTAGTGATAATGAGGGTCAGAGAGTAAACTAGCTGAAATTCATTAGAACACAACTTTAAAAGGAAAAAAGTGAAAACCATTTTGACACAATGAGTCCTATTATACATTACAATTCCGTGTATTTTACATTAATTACAAAATAAAAAGGATTTTAAAAACTAGAAAATTATCACTTTGTAATCCCCCCCCAAGAGATGACTGAGTCAGTCAGGGATTATTTACCAGTGTTAAAACTTTCCATTATCGAGTATTACTCAGCAACCAAAAAAAAAATAAACAAATGCCTTTTGCAGCAACATGGATGGAGCTGGAAAAGATCATGCTTAGTGAAATAAGCCAGAAAGAAAAGGAAAAATACCGGATGGTTTCAATCATAGCAGGAGTAGAAAGGACCAGGCAGAAAATAATAATGAACAACTATGTACCAGACACATTTTACACGGGTGGAGAGGGAGTAGGATCAAAAACGGGGGGAGAAGAGAAGTGCACTGGACTATGGTGATGGCACACGAGTGACTTGGTGATGGGAAGCCCACGGGGATTACAATGAGATGGAAAAAGGCACAAAATTATATAAATATAAGCTATTATATTAATTTAAAAAAACTTTCCATTATTGAGTATCACTCAGCAACCAAAAAAATAAACACATGCCTTTTGCAGCAACATGGATAGGGCTGGAAAAGATCATGCTTAGTGAAATAAGCCAGAAAGGAAAGGAAAAATACCGGATGGTTTCACTCACAGCAGGAGCATAAAGGACCAGGGGAGAAGATAATAAGAATAATGAACAACTATATGCCAGAGACATTTTATGGGGGTGGAGTGGGGAATGGATCAAAAACAGTGGGGGAGGGAAGTGCGCTGGACTAAGGTGATGGCACACGGGTGATGTGGTGATAGGAAGCCCACTGGGATTGCAACTGAGACTGAGACGGAAAAAGGCACAAAATGATGTAAAAATAAACTATTGTATTATTTAAATAAATAAGTGGCAATTTTAACTTAAAAACAACAAGTTCCCATTATCTGACTGCTGAGGACTGGACACTTGTGTATTACCCATGGAAAGCTCAGTGACTAGTGGTAGGCTGATCATCCAGTCTTTCCTAAAGTGATGCAATTTGGTCAGGATGTAGTCTGGCCAAAAATAAGTCATATTTGGGGATTTCCCCCCAATCAAAGGCTCTAAATTAGCATCATGAGAAAGTAACCATTACAGAAACAGAAGAACAAATCTTATGAAGGATGTAGTGATGAGTTTCTAAAGGGAATGTAACCTGAATACAGAAATTTACCCTCAATCCAGTTAAGAAAAGAACTGTCAAAAAAAAAAGGGAGGGTGTTTAAATTGGAAAAAAACAACACCTATAGATCTGCGTCCTTCGGCAATGTCTGCCATGAACAGTTCCGACTGTTCTGCTGGTAGTAACAGTACTATGGGACAGATACCCAGTACTGAACACACAGCAGTACCATCATTATGAGTACTCCCTGTTCCTCAGAACAGTCCTGGATCAATGGGAAACTGTTACTTTCTCTTTATTATCCTACAAGAAGCCAGAAGCACAAACCTGCCTGCCCAAGATCTCCAAGGTCTAAAGAGAAAAGAACTTAACAGGCAAACCTGGCTAGACTATGTACTCCGGAAAATAAAAAATTGTTTTAACTTTTGACTTATACTAAATTCATAAGCTAGAAAGCAAAAAGGTGTGCTTTAGCTCCATCTATCCCACTCCCACATCCCAGAGAGAAACATTTTGGTTTCTTAGTATTTTGATTTTTAATGAAAGAAATACAAATATATACTTTTTTTTGTCCCTCTTCTTACTCCAGTGAAATACACATTATTCTGATTTGTTTTTCATTTAATGATGCATTTTGGGAGCTATTTCATGTCAGCTTAGACACTATCTTCCTCATCTGTATAACTGTACGTCATTATTGTTGCATGCACGTACTTCATCAAAATAATACCCACTGCCCACACTACTGCAGTGAGCAACCCTTCCATCCCTATCATTTCATGCAAAAGCAGGTGTACTAGTAGCAATCATTTTCATACCTGAAATAGCTGGGTCAAAAAGAAACGACAGAGCCCTCCCTGGTGGTGCAGCAGGTTAAAAGCACAGCACTGTGAGGTTGGCTACACCCACTTCAGTGCGAGTTCTATCCCTGGTCAGGGAGGTGACCAGAAGAGTGGCAGACCTCTCCTGACCCACCCACTGCTCCCCTCAGCGGTGTACTTCACCTGTCTGTCTGTTCTGTTCCCCCTTCTGCCTCTGGTGAGTCCTCTCTCAAGAACCCTGCACCTCTGGCCTGCAACCCAGTTCTGTATGCATAAACAAAATCTTAAAAAAAAAAAGAGAGAGAACAGAAAAGACATTTGTAGCTATAACAGATATTGTGAAAGTTACCTTTTAGAGGTCTGCTTTGTGCTAATACCTACACTATTTTAATGTCTGATGATTATTACATTATTAACATGTATTGCCATTGGGCCCTCCCTGGTGGCACCACGGGTTAAAGTGCTGGCCCACATGGCACATCAGACTTCTCCTGTCTCCACTGCTGCTCCCCTCAGCAGTGTATTTTGTAGATCTGCCTGTTCTGCTCCCCCATTCTGTTTCTGGTGAATCCTCTCAGTCCCTGCACCTCTGGCCTGTACCCTAGTTCTTGTGTGCATAAATAAATCTTTTTAAAAAAGGCACTGCCACTGATTTTCCGACTCCCTCACACCCCATTCCTTTGTCAGGGTTTTTACTGGCTATTCTAGCTTGTCTATTTTTCCATATGAAGTGCAGAATCAGCAAATCTAGTTCTAAAACAACTGTAGATACTTATAGGCAGGTCACATTAAGTTAGTGAATTTATTTAAATTTGTACACAGTTCCTTTAGTCTTCCTGTTGAAAAACAGCTATTCATGTTTTATGCAAAGCCTCTCGGTGGTATTTTAAATTTCTTCCTAACAGCTCTGCACATTTCATAAGTTTATTTTTATTTTTTTTAAATTGCTATTGTAAATTGTGGTTTTTCTCCTCTAACTGGCTGTTGTTTGCTTGAAGATTATTAATCTGGTACCCAAGCACTTTATTTCACTCTCATTATTTAAAATTATGTAAAGGATAACTACATAGATTCTTTAGAAAAATAATCTTTGTAGAGAGAAATTATTTTCATTACTGCACAAAATCCATGCATTTAGGATTCATTAGATTCGGCCTTAAAATTTAATTCTGATTCAGGGATAATTAAGAACGAGGATAACTGTATCTAGAACATCAAACACTTCATTCCCTAATCCTGGGATTTCTGCATTATACAACACAGCTTCTCACAGTGTAACGACATTTAATACAGTACATAACTGCAGTCCTATTAAAGTACCCCATATATAAGAGGATTTGAGATTGTCTAAGAGCTCCCCCAACAAAAACTCCCTTTCGCATATTTTTAACACCCTCTCCCCCTCAAAAAGAAATGCATTTTTACATAAAAACTCACTCTACAATAATTTGAAATTTAGCTTTACCCCCCCCTTCAAATATTCTGATATTCCAGAAAGATGGCACCATTATTACTAGCACTTTCGACAAGGGAAGTGCGCCTCAGAAGTTCTCTCCATGCAGGCCCCCTACATCTCCCAATTAAAAGCAGTCACACACAATCTTGCACCCACAGTTTGCTACTCAATACACCCAAACATCCGGTCAAACTTGCGGTCCAACTCCGGGTCTCCCCGCTCCAACCCTTCTGGCGCCCCAAACCCCACCCCACATGTAGGCCAGAAGCACTTAAACCCACTCCCCAGCTCCGCGCCGCGCCCCAAAAATTCAGAATCCTCCCCTCCAACCTTCCCGACCCGACCAGCCCGAGACGCCCACGTCCCACCTCCTACTTTCGCGCCACGTGGACCCAGGGGCCGGACTGACCCGCGGACAAAGACCAAAATGTCCACTCGTCGCGCTGCGCCTGCGCACTCCGAGGGCGAGTGAGTACTCCCAGAAGTCTCCGCGACGGGCCCGCACGGTCACCGCGGCCAGGCCCAAGCGGGTAGTTGATTACTTTCTATCGCCGTTTTTTCCGACGTTGAACTACAATTCCCTTAAGGCTTTGCAGCTCGACTCACTCCCTCGGCCTCGTCCCGGCGAACCTGGCTGCCTTTCCCCGTAATGATGGGGCCCTTAGATGAAGCAGACCTACCTTGGAAGAAGACCAGCTCAAGCCCGATAGGCGGTTTGGAGCGGGAACCCCCTCTTTGAAGCCTTCGGGGCGCAGGACCAAGAGGCCAAACCCAGACGCTGAGTTACGAAGACACCATCTTGTCCGCGGCTGGTCTGGCTTCGGACTACATTTCCCACAGTCCACGGCGGCCCGACGCTACGTCCCTCTTGACGTCGTGGCGAGATAGTTTGCTCCGCAGGGACCCGGACGCGACCAAGGGGAGGCAAAAGGTGAGGGGTCTGGGAGTCCGGGGCGGGGACGGGGCGTGTCCAGAGCCGCGGGCTCGTGCGCGCAGGCGGGAGCGGCTGGGGACTCGCGATTCTGAATGTCTGTGGGTGTGGGTGCCTATGATGTGCAGTTGTGACTGTCTGCAGGGTGTGTGTCTGGTTGTGTGTGTAACCATGTGTGATAACTGAGTTGGGTGTGTGCCCGTGACTGTCGAGGGTGAGGCGGTTTGTGTTCCCGTTGTGTTTGTGTCTGGACGCCTTGTTTTGGGAAGTGTTAAGTGTAGCTGTGACTGTGTAACTGTCAAGTGAGATTGCAGTTGCAGATATCTAAGGTGGGTGTGTTTCAGGTTGTGTGACATGGTGGCCGTGTGGTGCAGTGCGCAGTTGTCGCGTGTCTGTGACTGTGTGGTGACACTGTGTGTGTATCCCTACTGCGTGCCTGGGCGGTGTGTGCAGGTGCGGGTGTCCTTGTTTGTGTGTGACAGTGTCTGTCTCCACAGTGAATATTCAGTTGTGATCTGCCCTGAGCTCAAGTGGCGACTGTGTGTGTCCCCTCCTCCCCCCCCACCCCCCCAGGGAGCATGCAGTTGGGACTGAGTGGGGCATTGGTGGGTATTAGCAGTGGAGCCAGTATCTATGAGAGTGACTGTGTCACTACAATGCGACTGTTGGTTTTCAGTAGGTAGGAAGCTTGTGTCTGTATGAAGATGTGGAGTTGTCTGTGGTTGCATAATCACACATTTGTGTCCTTAGGTGTCTCAAGGTTGGGTGTGTGGTTATATTTGTCTGACAGTGACCATTTGTGCAGTCCCAAGTGTTTGAATGTGAGTTGCCTGTGACTCCAGTGTTCTAATCTCTGCAAAATTTGTGAAATTAGAACAAAATGTGGCCCTTGGCAGTGATAACATCACCCATTCCCTGTGACATTGAGATTGGACAGGATGTCCAATCTTCTCAGACTTCCCTCCTCTGTGTGGGAGGGTAGGGAGATGACAATTCAGATGTCCTGCTTGCTCATGCTTCTTTTTCTTAACTCTTCAAAAGAGATGTTGAAAGGAAAAGGAAAGAATTGCTATTGAATGTCCACAAACCAAAGTCAATGTGTATTACCATTTTTCATGATGTACTTTTCTTGAAACTTCTCCCTAGTGGAGACCCCACTACCGGCATCCAAAGTAACCTGCTCTCCAGTACTTGACATTAGAATAAGTTATGGGGTGGGTCCCTCCCACCTCTCCCCCCCCCCCCCCCCCGCAAATAAAGCAATAACCTGTCACTACAGCACCACTTCGATCCCCCACCAGGGAGCTGACCCACAGGGCACAGCAGACCCCTCCTGTCTCACCTGCTGCTCCCCTCAGCAGTGGATTTCAATAGATCTGCCTGTTCTGCTCCCCACTCTGATCTGGTAAATCCTCTCACTGCCAGCACACCTCTGGTCTACATCTCAGCTCTTGTATGCATAAATAAATAAATCTTAAAAATAAATAAAATAAAATCCACTATTTAAGAATTTTTGTTGTCTGTCTAGTAAGTTAATCTTTTACATGTTATCATTTGTCAAAATTTTTATATTTTTCTGCCATGTGTTCACAAAATATACATTTGTCTACAATAATTTTAGTTATATAATTTTATATTAAAATTTATCTAGTTAGGGGCCCTCCCAGCTGCCTCAGCGGGTTAAAGCACAGCACTGAGAAGCTGAAGCCACTTCCGCATGAGTTTGATC